TTTTGCTATTGTTTTTATTTTGAACTACGTATAGGGGGCACCGTAGTCTTTTCAGTGCTTAGGAGCTCTAAAGGTCTTATTGTATCCCTCTCAACTGCCCCAATTAAATGGGGACATCCCGAGAGATCTCAGCATAGCACCCCAAAGTGCGAGAGATCGAGGAGCCCCAAAACACACATTTGGGGGCAAAATACACAAGATCGTGACCTTGCACAAGATCACGGAGCTCTGTGATCTTACACAGATCACGGGACTCACACAAGAGTGTGGCTAGGGAACCATGCATCTCAGTTTTCGGTTTCAACATGTTGGAGGGTGTGCTGTTGGGAAACATACAAAACTGATGCCAAACCTCTCTACCACTGCATGGTGGCTGGTGAGATGTGGAGGCCTTGTTCACATTTACCACCCTCTTTTGGATTGTGAATTAATCACCTCATGCAGAACCCAGTCTTCAACCTCCTCCATCTCTGTCTCTTCCCTTGGGCTGGGGGGGGGGGGAGATGCTACTGCAGGCCAACATAAAAACTCTGCCAGAGAACTGCATAGAACCCTTTTAATAAACCAGTTAAGTCTGCTAGAGCAGAGGAGCCTGAATTCATAATCATCATCATCATCATCATCATCATAATTTATTTATACCCCACCCATCTGGCTGGGTTTCTAATGCACTCTGGGCAGCTCCCAACAGAACAAAAAGCACAATAAAACATAAAACATTAAAAACTTCCTTAAACAGGGCTGCCTTCAGATGTCTTCTAAAAGTCAGATAGTTGTTTATTTCCTTGACATCTGATGGGAGGGCGTTCCACAGGGCGGGTGCCACTACCGAGAAGGCCCTCTGCTCAATGAGGATTCAACAGTCAACTCCAATTTTCCAATGCAGCAGCCATACGGGCAAGGCCAATTGCACAACTTCCTCTCTTTCCTTCCAGGTTAAAAAAAAAAGCAAGAAATGCGTACAGTGCCTTTTCTGATGCTGTAAATAAATACTATGAGTGACTTTTATTGGTTGAAGGAGGACCACGGGCATAGGGAAGGAGCACGTGGCTTGCGTCCCCTGCTGTGCAAATGTGCAGCGGTAAATGATGACAAATTTAACAATTGCAAACGAAAATTCTAATTGTGAAGGGAGTTAATACTGGAAACGTGCTGAATTTGGCAAACCAAGGACAAACGTCTTGTTAGTGTTTAATTAGTGTGATCGGTGGATCCCTAGTTTCCCCCACAGGCCTCATCCATGAGTTCTGAATTTCAGAGGTGATCTGAATATCTACATTGCTGCTACCCTTACTTCTGTTTCCCCCATATAACTTAATTACAATATCTCAGGGTGAAAACTTTGACTCTGCTAGAAGTTTAAGTACCCACATGGGAATTAATTGTGTGGCTAAAACAGAGAGCTCACGGACAAGCTGCATCTGAGCAGCCGGACACTGCACACAAAGATTCATCTTCTTACCGTATTTTTCCGTGTATAACACGACCCCGTGTATAAGACGACCCCTCTTTTTGGGAGCCCTCAACAGTTGTTGAGCTTCTTCCGTAAGTTTGCTGAGCTGTTGAGCAGCTTTTCGACAATCCCCCGCTCTGGCTGACGGAACTGTTGCCGTAATACACCGTATAATGGCACTCACCAACTCTTCCTAAGCCGGGAAGGGCAGGTAAGCAGCCTCCTCTCCGATATTTCCCTGGTACCGCCACAGCACCAGCCCTCGCTTACTTAGCACGACCCTCAATTTATCACAAAAATAAATTCCGGAAAAAAGGTCGTCTTATACATGGGAAAATACGGTATATGTTTTTAAGGCATTAAAATTATTTTTTCTTGCAGATACTGCAAGCATATCTTCCAGGCACTTCTTCAGTACTAACCTTGTCAAAGTGAAGGGGATCATTTCCGTCAATGGAAAAACCTGAACTACGGGGTTGGGATGTAGCTCAGTGATCGAGCATCAGTTTTGGAAGCAAAAGATCCCAGATGCAATCGCTGGCGTTTTCATATAGGACTGGTATCAGAGGGGTATATCGGATTCCTCCTGTCGCCCTTGGGAATACGCTTTGTACAGTCTCCCAGGCCGAACCTCTAAAGTGGTACCTCAGGTTACATATGCTTCAGGTTACATAGGCTTCAGGTTACAGACTCCGCTAACCCAGAAATAGTACCTCGAGTTAAGAACTTTGCTTCAGGATGAGAACAGAAATCGTGCTCCGGCGGCGCGGCAGCAGCAGGAGGCCCCATTAGCTAAAGTGGTGCTTCAGGTTAAGAACAGTTTCAGGTTAAGAACGGACCTCTGGGATGAATTAAGTACTTAACCCGAGGTACCACTGTATAAATTACTCATAGACAAGGTGCAAGAACATTTAAAGGACAAGATAAAAGGGTAAAGGGACCCCTGACCATTAGGTCCAGTCACAGATGACTCTGGGGTTGCGGCGCTCATCTCTCTTTATTGACCGAGGGAGCCGGCCTACAGCTTCTGGGTCATGTGGCCAGCATGACTAAGCCACTTCTGGCGAACCGGAGCAGTGCACGGAAACACCGTTTACCTTTCCGCCGGAGCGGTACCTATTTATCTACTTGCACTTTGACGTGCTTTTGAACTGCTAGGTTGGCAGGAGTTAAAGGACAAAGGAAGCTGCTTATCATGGCACTGACTGGCAAGGTATGTCCTGAGTAAGGAATAAGCTCTTTGTTGTCAGATTTTTCTGTGCTGTGTTCGAAAAACAGAGGACAATATTAAGAACCAACAAACACATGCACATCCAAACAAGAATACAATCTAACCAGCAGCAATACGGTCTCAACAGCACTGAGAACAACACAAACTCAACTAAGCGTCATCGTACTCAGAGGCTAAAACCCTGCTTAACCAGTAACATCTTAATAACTCATGCAGCCGAAAAAAGTTCTTAGATCCTGCAGATCTCAATAAGTAATGAACTCCATAATGTGGAGCTGCAACAGGGAATGTTATTATCAAGGCCAATCTAGTCTCACAGAGGCAACACACTCTCTGACATTGAATGACTAGCAAGTCACAGATACCACTACCACCCACATGTCAAATGCTTTATGACATTCAATTAGCATTTAATATCCCTGTGTACGTTTTGCTTGAGGCAGCAGCCCCCTTTTAAAATTTATTCAACCAAATCTGTACAGCGTTCAGCTGTAAATAAAACCTCTCAGTGTGATTTACACTTTACCCTGCTTATAGTACAGAATCAATCTGCTTGAAGATTCCCCACAGGCACTAAACTGGCCAGTATCAGAACAGGATGCTTAGTTAGATGACCACCTGGGATGATCCAACTGGCTGCTACGTTCTTACATCCTTCTAGGCATTGACTCTGGGCTGACTTGTTCGATTCAGGAAAGGATGTGTTATAGCCATGCATTCCCTCACACACGCCAGTAAAGTTAATGGACAACAAACATCACTTGCAATGGGTGACTGTACCGCTAAACATAAATCTGAAAACACTCTATTCAGGTTTTAGGGCTGTGCATTATTTTGCAATAAAACAACGAAATGTTATAACCCTTTGAAAAGCACTAAGATTTCCTTTGCAGAAATTGGAACATTTCAGGATTCGCATACGGTTCTTTAGGCGTTCGGAATTGTTTTTGCCGGTTTCTCTTTGCGGTTCTTATTTTTGTGGCACGAGAACTACATTTCAGAACGATTAGAGAAGTTCCGATTACGGCAGAACAGCTCCATCTCCACCGGTGACTCAAAGTAAAAGCCGAAATGGCACTCAGAATACATCTTGAATAAATGTTCAAAAACCATCTCCTCAGGGTAATTTCCTGTTTGACTAGCGAAGGTATTTTGTTAGCATCTGATAAAGCTGTTTGAACTCTGGAAGCATAACACTGGGAAAGCGTGTCTGATGAACTCTTTGGACATACTGTTTGAAGCACTGGGAGAAATCCACTTTACTAGCTGAGCAGTTCCTGCGCTCTGAAAAATTCCCTTTCCCGCTGTGTTCTTCCAGCCTGTTAGTGACACGTACAAGGTGCAAGGATAAGTCAGACGCAATAGCACAAGCTTATGCATGTCCACTCTGAAGGGTGTTCAGCTGAATTTATTCCCACGTAACTGTTCATAGGATTACAGCCTTAAACTGGTTTCAGTGTCAAGGGAAGCGTAGGAATTGCATTTCGGTTAAGAGGGACTACCAGGAACCCCTAATTCTTCCCAGTATCCCCATAAGACTCAAGTTCTCAGAGTTTGTGGTGGAAGCCATGTTGGCAGTTATACAAAACTAGTCGGATGCGTGGTGTAGTGGTTGAGTGGTTGAGAGTGGTGGACTCGTAATCTGGTGAACCGGGTTCGCTTCCCTGCTCCTCCACATGCAGCTGCTGGGTGACCTTGGGCCAGTCACACTTCTCTGAAGTCTCTCAGCCTCACTCACCTCACAGAGTGTTTGTTGTGGGAGAGGAAGGGAAAGGAGAATGTTAGCCACTTTGACACTCCTTCGGGTAGTAATAAAGTGGGATATCAAATCCAAGCTCTTCTCTTCTTCAGTGCTAGCCTATGCATGCCAACTCAGAAGTAAGTCCTGTTGAGGTCACTGGGACTTAATCCCAGGTTGTTGTGTACACATAGGATTGAAGCCTCGGTCAGCGGAACATTTCCTGTTGAACGGTTGAAAAGTTAGTCATGCCAAAGAAAAAGCACCAATGAAATCAATGTGAGCTGAGTTCAGCTGACTAAATCCAAACCTATGAATTGCAGCAGCAGAGCTCGACAGAGCTGCCAAGGTGGTACAACCCCCACTATGAATGGCAGCCAAGGCAGGAGGTGGGGAGAAAAACATGAGACTCTAAATCTCAGGGTTGTGTGGTTCGAGCCTCACATTGAGCAAAAGATTCCTGCAGCTATTAAGAGGTCAAACAAATCAAAATTTAACGAAAGAATGGGGTTGGCGGGGGGAGGGCGGCCCGGCGGGGAGGGAGGGAGGGAGGCAGGCGGTGGCGGCGCCAGAGGACGATGAGCGGCGGCCGGCGGAAGGAGGAGCCGACGTCGCACCCACAGCAGCACCTGGTGGCCAACGGCGGCGGCGGCGCCTTGAAGAGCTCGCTGTGGGGCAAAGCGCTGCGGAGCGACTCCGCCTGGGAGGACAAGGATGAATTTCTAGATGTGATTTACTGGTTCCGGCAGATCATTGCTGTTATTTTGGGAGTGATCTGGGGCATTGTTCCATTGAAAGGATTTGTGGGCATAGCAATATTCTGCCTGATAAATGCTGGTGTCCTGTACCTCTATTTTAGTAGCTTCCAGCAGATAGATGAAGAAGAGTATGGTGGAACTTGGGAACTAACGAAAGAAGGGTTCATGACATCTTTTGCATTGTTTTTGGTTGTTTGGATAATCTTCTACACTGCCATCCATTATGATTGATGAAGTCGGCCAAATCAGTTGTATTCATAAGTTGAATAATACTTTAAGAAGCAGCCTCTGATGAACTGGGGGGAGGTAAAATAAGCCCATTTTTATACCCGTGGTCCAAGGAGATGGGACAAGCCAAATGGCTTCTAAGAAGAGAAATTGAGCCTGTCTGATTATTTAAAGAAATGTTGCTTTTGCAGAACTTTTAAAAAAGCCATCACAATGTTTTGCAAACAATACAAGACTGTTCGACCTTTCAACCTTCTCTGTGATTTTGCCTGGTACAGTGACGGCAAACTTCTGTATTCTAAAAGGGTGACCTTATTAATTAATTTGTGTCCATTATCTTGCCCTCTCTGAATGAGATCGAATCAGTTTGTGACTTGTCTTCCGTTCGCTAGACGTATGTTTTTAAAACCATAAACATCATGAGGCATTTGGTTGGAGGCGAACTCTACAGAAATGATTACAAGAGCATAGAGTTTAATGGTTGTCCTCGGCTTGTTTTAAGAAAATTAAAGATCTGATCTGATAAAAAAAAAAAAAAAGAATGGGGTTGCGTGAATGAATATACGAAAAAACACTACTCCGGTACAGAAATATTGATATGTAAAGAACAAAGTTTGTAAGGGGGAAAGGTTACAAATGCAAGTAAAATCTGAATATTTGTCAAATACAATATAACAACACAACTGTAAAGATAAGTTATAGAATTAAGATCAAGCAACGATGGAAGGAAGTCATATTTGAACTCACATTTCGAGTTATGCTGAAACAATGGGGGGTGAGGTGGGGGGGATGTTTTGTGTTACTAACATGTACATATGTGTAAACCTTTTTTCCTTTCTGTTATTTTGTAGAGATAAAAACTTTAATAAAAATTAAATTTTAAAAAAAAGATTCCTGCATTGTAGGGGGTATAGGAGCCAACTCCTAGTGGACGTGGCAGGCTTTGGCCCCCACAATAAAATATTTGAGGGGGATGGGCCCCCCAAAATTGATGGGCATCCCCATTCAAATGGTGTGTGTGCACTGTATCATGTGATCAGTTATGCAGGGTGGGGTTTACCTGGGCCCCCACAATATTTTATTCAAGTTGGCACCCCTGGTAAGGAGTTGGACCAACTCTACAATTTATGTCAGCAGCAGGGTCCACACAGAATCTAGTAGACCCTGTGCCCGCTAATCTCTCCCCCTCCCCACAAATGGTTTCTACCTGCGGGGTAGCAATTGGGGCACTGCTCACCAATGGCGTTGGCCCAGCAGTGAGAGGCCCCCTAATGGTGGGAGATGGCAGAGCTGGGCAGAGAGATACAATGGATTCGGGGCTTGGATTGCCACTGAGGTGTATACTCAGTTGATATACAAGGCTGCAGTGAATTCCATTGCCCCAGAACTATGTTTTTCGTACCATGTTCTAAGGAGCCTTGTTTCAACTGGGCATCTTCACTGAGAAGGTCAGTAAGAGTTGACAGCCTACCCGGAAATTCCAATTTCCTCCTGCACTGCACAGCTACTGGATGTGCCAGACGCGTGATCAGTTCAGATGCGGCAGCAGTGAAGCCCGACGGGTGTGACTGCACAGAAGATGCAGTCTTACGCATCTTTTACTCTGAAACCACATGCCACGTGAACAGGGTGTGTGTGCTCTAAACACTCCTCAGAATCTTCTATGGCAGAAGTTCCATGGCAAACATGTCGGTGTGGAAAAGCTTCTCTAAAGATTGGGAAATGGACAGCCGTGGCTCTAGAATACACCCCCATATACTTTGCAATGTGCAAAGATTCAGTAAAGGATTCACAAAAGTTTCTCAGCAGGGGGCGGAAATTGATACAGAAAGAAAGGGTTCTCTGAAGGCAGGAAGGTTTGAAAATGACTGATGCAGACAAAGATCAGAAACTGCTTATCTCTGCAAATGTTAAATTTAGGCACCATAGGATATTTTGTTATTTCTTTGGCATGTTTGGTACAAATAGATACGCTTTTTGCTTTAAAAAAACACCATACGGTTTCTCTCCATAGAATTTGAGTGAAGTATTAACTTAAACACACAAAGAGTGCCATCTAGTGTTCTAAAACCGCATCAAACTATTTTATTTTTTAAAAAGTGTGTCTTTTTTCCTAGTAACGTGGAAGTTGTTGCTGGGAGGGGAGTAGTCATATTGAAACTGCTTTATGTTCATTTATACAATTCAATTGTCTCACTGTGAAGCTGCGATAAACTGCAATCAAGATCCACAGAGACACGTCATGAATGGTTTGATATATGTTCACACAAAAAAAAAAGAGGCAAAGGCAAAGCCTTCAACTGGAGCTTTTAGTTGTAATGATAAATTACTATTTTGGAGCATCACCTTGAAACCTTTAGTTATTGTTGCTGTTATTTTCTCCTGCCTTGATGTGTGCTCTGACATCAGGCTTCGTCTTCAAAGAAATAGTATGGGAGAGCAATCCTGAAGCCATTTTGACTCTCTCAATGACCTCAAATATTCCTCTGCAGTAAGGGAGGCAAATGGGGAAAGCCTTCCCATTGTCTTTTCCACTTATAAACCCTGTCTTATGGTCATATTTGTGTATGAATAGGGTGAGCCTGTGACCTGGATTCAGGAACTAAAGTATTTACCATCACGAAAGAATGGCCAGGCTGCCCAGGTGATGCAATCAGCAACTGTCATCAGGTATCCTGTCAGACAGGATTTCTGCTGTACACCTCCTCCTTCTGTGATGTATTTATGATTTTTTGGGGGGAAGGGGTCTTGGGCTGCAGGGTGGGCAATTTCAAAAGTCTATATAAGGGCTTGCGCACCATTGTTCAGGGTTCTCCTCCCTCCTGCGTGTGGTGAGTGGGGACCCTGTTGCAACTGTTCCTTTAATAAAAATCAGGCTTACTAGCCACTTTGCTTCTCAATATACTCTGGTTGGCCTCTGTTATTTTCTCCTACCGATAGGGAACCTACTTAAGGACTCTAACAGGCTCCGAAATGGGAAAGGGAGCAGTTTTTCTTACAACATCTTCTATGAGATGTCACAGCAGCACATCCAACATGATGCTTCATTTGGGCAGAAGACACTATCAAGTGTGATGCCTTCATGCCAGTATGTCCAATGTATGTAGAAATGAGCATAAGATGCCTTATACTGAGTCAGACTATTGGTCCATCTATCACAGTGCTGTCTACAACAGGCTTCCTCAACCTCGGCCCTCCAGATGTTTTGAGACCTGAATTCCCAGCATCCCTGACCACTGGTCCTGCTAGCTAGGGATCATGGGAGTTGTAGGCCAAAAACATCTGGAGGGCCGAGGTTGAGGAAGCCTGGTCTACAATGACTGGCTGCAGTTCTCCAGGGTTCCAGACCTGAACCAGAGACACCCAAGCTTTGTCCTGCAGCCGGCTGCAGTTAGTGATGCGCTCTCTGTTGCAGCCCCACAGATTTCCTTCTTGCACACATAGACGGCACACGGATGCTGGACTCAAAGCAGGATGTCACCCCTCAATCAATCCAGCACAGCCACTTTCTCTTAAATCATGGGAACCACTCTTTGCTTCTTTGGGTTTTCAGCAGTTGATGTGTATGTTCCAGCATTTCCCAAGAGGAATTCGGGGCATCCCACAACACCATCCCACCCCCTGCCACCTCTTTCCTGCTCACCCCCCCCCAACATTGCCACCACTTGTCCCCGGTACCTTACTTTGGGCATCTCTCTCCCTCTCTCCACCACCCTCTGTGGCCTGTGGTCTGCAGCTGCAGGCAGAGGCTGTGGCGCGGCAGAGGAGGCAAAGGCTTCAGCGCACCGGAGGTGCATCATCGGAAAAGCCAGCAGCCTCGGCCCTGGGCTGCGCCACTGCCAGCAGTGATGGTGTTGGCCAAAACACAGCATCTAGGATAACTTTCAGAAGCCAGGGCGGCTTCTGTAAACCCAGGATGTCCTGGTAAAATCAGGACCGTTAGGCAGCATGGTTGTTGATGACACTTTAGGGCAATTTTGCAGTCTGTAACTCTCTCCAGCATTGTCCCATCACTCTCCAACCTCTTCTGATGACTCTCCAAAACTCCTCCACGACTCTCTCCATCTTCTCCGCAAATCCCTCCAGTCTCCTCCAATGACTCTTCAACCTCCTCCGCAACTCTCCCTGGGCTCCCCTGCATTTCTCCAAACTCTCTGAAGACCTCTGATCTCTCTGCAATCTCCTCCGCGCTCTCTCCACATTCCATTGACTCTCCAACTGCACCTAAACACTCGCCCAGTAGCTGATGGGATTGCAAGATGCTTTTTCTTTTCTTTTTTTCCAAATCACATTAGTTCCAAATTATACAGCCAGATTTTTAAATTTTGTTGGGGGTACCCATACTTCAAGCTCCGAACGGGGGTCCAAGCATCACTTATATTGCTGCTTTAATTAAACAGTTCTATCCAGTTCTGTCCAGATAGTCTCTTTATTACTTTCTTCATCTTCTTGTTGTTATCATATATTCCTTTCTTTGCGATCTCTGATAATCTTCACAAGCGGGTTGGGAACAAACATTCTCT